AGTTAAAGGGAGAGAGGCAATTTCCTCAACTAATAAATTTGTCCCTGTGCCCCGGGGAAGACTCTCCCAGAAGGTAGCAGCTAGAACAGAATATTGGAATATTTTTATGAACAACACTACCACTTTCTACTTTTATGTTTCCTTTGAGATAAATGGTGAATCCTTTACTCTCATTGTCTAGCACAGCTCTTCCCTGTTTGTTTTTGAGCTTTCACTCCAGCCCAGGCTGGAGTACAGTGGGGCAAATACCTCTCACTACAGCTCCGACCTCCAGAACTCAAGCTTTCTTTCTCCATCTGGCCTCCCCAGCAGCCGGGACTGCAGGCCTGTGCTACCACGCCCCGTGAAAGCCATTATTTCTTGAATGAGGTAAGGAATGAGATGATTATTTACAGTGTACGAACTCTTCACATTACTTCCTTCCAGATCTCACATTTTTCTAGTAATAAATGTAAAGAGGCTCTGGGGGCAGCCTCTACTCATCTGAACAGAGACAGGGGACAGGCAAAACTTATTTTCAGTTTCTTTAGTAATGCCTTAAAGATATGGATGAATGGAAAGAGATGAACAGGAACTCGAATGATCTCAGAGAGTCAGAAACGGTAACAGCGATGTCCTCAGACTTGTTCTTTCACTTCTATCCTCCCAGAAAAAACAATTCTCTAAGACCAAATCGTCTGCAGACAGCATGGTGGCAACACTTGATTATGGTGTTAGCTATTTGAGAAAGAGGCAACTGAGAATTCAGAAAACTAGAGCGTTGTAAGACAATCCACTCAAAGAACATTTCCCATGGGGGGAAAGGAAAGGGTGGCGTATTCATTTAAAAATGTGTTGACTTGCTCGTTGCTTGCACTGGGTTACTCAAACGAGACATGCGAGGCCTGGTACCTTCCCGCCGGGGCCGCTGGGGATACCGGGTAGGTGGCGCCGGGGTGGCGACCAGCGGGCATCCCAGACAGACGGGCCTCGAGACGCGGCCGAGGAAAGGACCGCTCTCCCGTCCGCGGCCTCCGAGTGGGCCTCCGAGCGAGGCGCGCGTGGGTCTCGCCACCCCCGGGCGCGCCCTCCAGAGGAAGCGAGACAACGTTTGGGTCGAAAGTACTTTTGGTTTTAACCCGGTTCCCCGGCCCCGGCGCCCGGCCGATGGGTTCGGAGATTACAGGAACGTCACCTCGGAATTGCCAGCCCCGGAGCCGCAGGGCCAAGGACAGCCACGCGGGGAGCCCCTCCTTTCCTTTCCTGCCCCGCTCACCTTCCTCTGTCTGTCTTTTTCCACCGGGGAAAGCCCGGCCGCCGGCGACCGCGGCCTCCTCCCCGGGTCCCGTGTTTCCCCGTCTCGGTCCCTCCCCGCAGCCACCCGGCCCGGCGCGCGGATGCTCAGCGTGCGCCCGAGACGCTCGCGCGGCGGGGTGCACACCCGGATCTCCAGGAAGGGGTCCGGGAGAGAGCCGCTGCCCGCCCCGAGGCCCCGCGGCCTCCGAGGGGGCGCCTGCGCGCTCCCGAGGGGCCCGCAGCACAGCGGAGCCAGCAGGCCAGCGGGAGGCGAGCCACCGCGCGCCCGCCGCCTCCCCGGGGGAAGTCCGGGGAGCCGGGGCGCTGGGGGTGAGGGAGAGAACCGGAGGGACCGCGAGGCAAGGGAAGGAGGAGAGCGAGCGGGGAGGAGGCCTGGGAGGGGGAAAGGCGGGGGAAAGGCGGAGGGAGACCGCTGGGTGTTAGAGCCAGGGAGGCGCAGGGAAATGGCGAGGCACAGGTCCGCGAAAGGGAGAGAGCCATCGTGCGCACCGAGCACCAGGCACGGCAGTCGTATGGAGAAAGAAAACGGGCTCCTCAGAGGCGTTCGACCATCCGGCTCCAAAACAAAACGCAAACCCACAGCAGCAACAACAAAAACAGGGAGCGCGAGCGAAAGCGACAGAGGAGGGAGCTCCCGGGGCCCATTCCTTCACACAAACACGGGGAAATAGACGAAAACGGTCCGAACTGGCGTTGTGGGGACGCAGAAACGGTCAGATGTTTACAGCAATCAAGAGAACGCTGACTCAAGAAAAAGATGACTTAAACACACCACGATAGGGACATCACTAGCGACCTGAAAGGAAATCAAAATAATTACAAGAGACTACTATGAATAATTGTAAGCCAACATTAGATAACCTAGATGAAACACATTTCTAGAAATACACAAACTCCAAAAGCTGACTCAAGAAAAATATAGACTTTTAACAAGTAAATAGATTGAATCAGTAGTTTTAAAAAAAAAGTCTCCCCCCCCCCCAAAGAAAAGCTCAGGACCACTAGTGACTTCACTAGTGAATTATACCCAATGCTTAATTTTATTTTATTTTTTTTTTGAGTTGGAGTCTCACCCAGTCGGGAGGGCAGTGGCACGCCCCTCGGCCACCGCAGCCTCAACCTGCTGGGCTCCCGCGACCCTTTCACCTCAGCCTTCCAAGTAGCTGGAACTACCGGCGCGTGCCACCACCCCCAGCTAAGTTTTTTGATTTATTGTAGAGACGAGGTCTCGCCAAGTTGCCTGGGCTGGTCTGGAACTCGCGGGCTCAGACAATCCACCGGCCTCGGCTTCCCAACGTGCTGGGATTACAGGCTGAGCCACCGAGCCCCGCCAGGCTTAAAAATTAACTCCAGTCCTTCACGACCTCTTCCAAAAATTAAGAGTACAGAACACTTTCTAACTCGTTCCGAGACCAGCATTATCCTGATATCAAAGACATTACAAAGCAAAGAAGACTACAGATCAATGTCTTTTTAAAAATATAGACACAAAATCCTCAACAAAATGTACTAGCAAACCAAACCCAGTAGCATTCAAAAAGGATTACACACTATATCCAAGTGAGATTTATATCAGGAATGTAAAGAGTTTAACATGTGAAAATCAATCAGTGTAATGCATCATATTAATAGAATGAAAAAAAACATATAATCGTGTTAACTTGATGCAGAAAAAGAATTTGACAAAATCCAATAACCTTTCATGATAAAAACATTCAAGAGACTAGAAATAGAAATGAACTGCCTCAACCTGATTAAAGGCATTAAAAACTATAGCTAACATCATATTCATTGGTGAAAGACTGAAAGATTTCTCCGTAAGAGCAGGAACAAGACAAGAATGCTTGCTTTTGCTTATTTTATTCAAAAGCGTGCAAGCAGCATTATACTGGAAGTCCTAACCAGAGCTATTAGGCAAGAAAAACAAAGTAAGAGAACTCTAAACTGGAAAATAGCAAATAATACTATTTCTTTCACAGAAGACATGATCATATATATAAAATGTAATACATCTTATATACAATGCTAAAGAATACACATATTACGGTCAAAAAACAAAATCAGTAGCTTCAGGATAAAAGATCAATGCATAAAAATTAGTTGTGTTTTTTATGCACTAGCAATTAACAACCCAAAAAGAAAATTAAGAAAACAATTGAAATTTGCAATAGCAACAAAAAGAATAAAATACTTAGAAATAAATGTAACCAAGTAGTTGGAATACTTGTACACTGAAAACTACAAAACACAAAATAGTGCTGGAATTGGAGAAGACCTAAATAAATGGGAAGACACCATGTGTTCCTAGATTGAAGGACTTAATGTTGTCAAGATAGGATGAAATATGATTCAGCCATAAAAAGGAATGAAGCAATGATACATGTTGCAACAGAAATGAATCTCAAAAACATTCTGATCACTGAAAGAAGCCAAACATGAAAGACCCTATGTTGTGCAATCCCATTTATAAGAAGTATTCAAAATAGGTAAAATAGGCAAAAGGAGATTTGTAGTTGCCAGGGCCTAGGGGCAAGGAGGATTTAATAAGTATGTTTAATGAGGCTTCCTTTGGAGTAAATGAAACTCTTTTGAGCTAAGTAAGAGTGATAGTGATCCAACATTATGAATGTACTAAATTGTACACTTTCAAATTATTGTTAATTTTATGTTGTGTGGATTGCACCTCCAATAATAATAATAATAATAATAATAATAATAATAATAATAATAAAGGTGTGGTGCACCAGCTTAGGGTGAGGTAGCGTGGACAGGAGATGTCTCTGAATCCCAGATGGGGTTTGTCACATCCCCGCAGCAATCCTACTCCGGCAGAGAAGTGTGGAGTGGCTTTGGTTTGGTCAGAGGCCGGCGTCAACCTCACAGCCCTCTTGAGCGACTGCCTGGGGTCCCTGAGGGCGGAGGCGGGAATGGGGACCCCTCCCTGGTGGGCCCACTGCGGGCTGCAGAACCGGACTTCGAGTCTGTGGGCCAAGGTTGACGGTTCTGCCACATGCTGGCTGAGGTGCCAGAGGCGAGATACCCCAAACCTCGTCGAAACCTGGAATCGCACAATAACCGAAAGCCAGGTCAGTCAATACAAAGTCTCACTGGAGATTTCGCTCATAGTTTTAACCGCATTTCATTGATCCTAACAGCCTTTTGAAAAGTATTTTCATCGTCTCTGAGACCGGGTGTGTGTTACAGTCCCGATGGTATGTCCTATTCCACCTGCAGCGTTTTTCTAAGAGAAACATTAAACAACAGTGAGTCTCTGAAACGATGTTGTCTTCCGTTCAGTGAACCTGGCGTTAATAGGTGCTAAAGGTTGACCGAATACTTGAATGAAAAAATGAAAATTTTTTTAAATTTGAGCCTCAGCTCAGCTATTGGTCAGCAATTTGACTAAAAAAAAGGAGGCCCAAACTTCACTTGTACCATGACCACTTGTATACCCAAATCTGAATTGTACCCCACATCTTTAAAATAAATAAATGAATAAATAAAAAGCCAAGTAACCCCTTTGAACTTTTCAACTTCACAAAATGGCTGTAATAAAGTCAACAGCTTCCAGCAGGTGAGAGGCTCACTTGAGGTGTCCGTGTACATGTGTGCTTAGGCCTGGGGTACTCGTCCCGAAAACTCCAACCCATTGAACAGGCAGTGATAAGGTTATTATTTTTTTCTTTTTAATCTGCTATAACAATTGATACATGAGAATACAAATGGAAATTTGGGGGGGGGGGGGAGAGAAGCCAGATTCAGGTATAAAGGATCTTCGATATTTTCAGAAAGTGATATATTGTAAAGAAGAAAAAGGGGAAGAATTGGGTGATATGGCCCTCTAGGATCTTCGATGATTGACGCTGTTTCTCGAAGTCTCTGAGGGTCTCAATTATTTTTTAAGTCGAGGATCTCTGTAGAGAATAGAAAGAAGAAAAGCGAGCATTAGAAGCCGGAAGTCAAGGATGTGCGGCCCACCCCTCCCTCCTCTCTTGCAATCCCCGCCTCGTAGTCAGGCATTTATGAAGAAGGTTCTCGGAACGGCTTCTCCTGCATGTACACCTTTTCCCAGCGTCCACCAATCCTCAGCACAGCGTCTGTCCATCTACTCTAGACCCTGTCGGCCGCCACTGCACTCCACATCCTCCCGGATCCGGCCGCGCGTCTGCGGTCGGCCCTGCCTTGCCTGGTCGGGCGCACTGACCGCGCGTGTGCTCCGGGCCCGACAGCGCGAGCTCAGGGAGAGCGCGGCCGCTCAGCCCGCGGGGTTGCGAAAGAAGAGTCCTCGAATGAGTGCCTGTGGGATCTTGACCCAATGCCAGACGCGAAGGCGTGAAGATGGGGCCTCGCCCCTCCCCGGGCATCTCCAGCACCTGGTGCCAAAGGAGCCAGCGAGCTCGCGGCTATCAAAGGGCACCTCCGGCTCTGGAGCCACTCGACAGTTCGGGAAACTTGGTTCCAGTTCCATCGCCTCCCTCCCCAAACCCGCTGAGGGCTTCCTACCATTTACAGAACAAAATGAATGCTCATTTCTTTGACCTCGAAGGCCCCTACATGATGAGACTTCTGGTCCGGTCTCTATCTCTTCGCGTACAGTTCGCTGTTGGGTTCTCCCAACCCCTTGCGTCTATTCCTGACGCAGTATTTGCACTTAGGGTCTGTCTCTCTTCCTCCCGTAGTTTTCTATTCATCAGTCAGGTTCTCTGACCACTCTTTAGCCTCTCTTCCCAGTCACGCTTCACTCTTAGCTATCGCGTTGGTTTTACAAATTCACTCTGAAAACGCAGTGATCTAGCTTGAAGTCCATTTCCCAGAATGTCAGCTCTATGAGGGCAAGACCTCTGTTTTACCCTCTTCATTTGTGTGTGCCCAGCACCTAGACTGGGGCTGATCAATCAGTAGCATCTAACTAAAGAATTGACCCTTTGCACTCAGATTTCTCCTTTAAGGGGACATCGCAAATCTAGCAAACCACTCAGTTGTCCCCTCTCAGGGGACATAAAGAGATTGCTGGTGATTATATAAGAAAACATGGGCCAGAGCAAATGTTTCAAAAATGTATGGTTCCTTGAAGTTTTCCATTTAAATCGTATGAAAAAGCAAATAAAGAGATGCGATATATACTGAGATATGATCGATCAATTGAGAAGGGTTTTTCAGGAATCATGAATGTGTCCTTAATACTTTTTTTCAAACAGACTGGACAATAAATTACAAATCATTAGTGTGGGTGGAAGAACTAGAAAAACACCAGGTGGAAGACGTCAAATTACTGTTGCACAACATATATCAATAAAACTGCAATGCATGCCAGTGACGTTACCACATGTTAGGAAAATATGATATACAATTTTGATTTTTTTATAAATAAGTTTTTTCATAAATAAGTTATAATATCCCAAATTCCATTGTAAGCCAAATATCATTACAATAAAATAATTGGTTTCAACGCTCTATTATGTAACAGGAAATAATTCATTTTTTACTATTTCATAAACAAAACAAAAATAAAGTGCTGTGGAGTAGCTGGTAAGTGACCCGCGAGAAGTCTCAGAGTGCCTGGCAAGGAGGGGTTGGGGAGAAAAAGATGGAAGGAAAGGAGGGAGGGAGAGGAGGGGAGGGAGCCGCTTGGGTTTAAATATCATCGGTTTGGTTATGAATGGTCACTCAGTTTATTCATCTGCCTGTAGCCTAATTCAATAGCTTACTCCCTCTCCTTCTGGCTCCTTCGGTGTCTTGCTGCGCCCAGAACAGAGCTGTAACTGGCCTCTACGTGCATGCGGGATACGGGTTGCAATTAGAGGAGGAGAGAGGGTGGAACCGATAACAGGAGGTGTACACGCTCAGCATGCAGGCTGTATTCATAGCGTCTCCCACCGGAGAGCCTAGAATTGGACTCTCCACTTCCTCCTCGCGGGCCTCCCTCCCTAAGGCTCAGGGCGTCCAGTGCTCCAGCATCTGATCCCAAATACGATCGATTTCAGTATCTTCAAGGTCATGTTTCATTTTAAACGTTCGCGTTAATTTTCATGTATTGCTTCATATACCTATGTTGATTTTTTAAAAAGTGTTCCCCCTCCAGAAAGAAATGAGGGTAATGTCGGCACTTCAGACAACAGGCGTGGGGCTTGCAGGAGTCTGGGACCACGGAGAGAATAAAAGACTGGGGTCACAAAAGAGAATAAAAGGAGGACCACAATTCCATCATCCTCGCTCCACGATCTCTTACAGAAACGGACGTTTAAGTAGAGGGAAAAGGGAGGGTCTCTATTTCCCATAGAGTCCTGCAAAACCAGGCGTACAGACTGGGAGGGTCGGGGGGAGCTCTGGAAACGCCGCTGCATAAAGAGGAGGGCCAGATCGGTAGAGCTGTGCGATATAACCGGGAATGACAGGTTTCCAGATAATGGCTCAAACAAGTGGCGGTGGTCCAGCCACCTAGCTATGCCAATGGGGAAAAGCCGCTCGGGTGTGGATGCGACTGGCCAGATAGTTTGGGGGAAGAGAGGGTGGTAGACCTCTAATCTCGTGACTTCAAGCTCCGCAGTCTAGGCCTTGAGTTGGGAGAAGGTATCTGTTGGGATGGTAGGGGCGGGTAGAGTTTACAGGGTGGGTTTTCACGTGCGCAAGTCCGTTTCAGGTTATTTCCCATCTGCCGCCCCGGCTAGGCGGCGCGGTCGGGAGACTCGGGCTGTCCCAAGAGCTGGCGCCGAGCTGAGGCGAGAGCCGAGAACCTGCTCTCCCGGGTTTCGCCTTCTCTTCCGAAAAACGAGAGCGCTGAGCTTCGGGCGCTTTCAGGATACGCATCTTAGATGATAAGTCCTCACCTGAGGGATCCTCCGCGGCGTCAGAGCGGGCGTGGCTGCCGCCTCCGGTGTCCCCGGCAGCCGCCTGCAGGTACCGCGCGACGTCGCGATGGCCCAGCTCCTCAGCCAGGTCCACGGGCAGGCGGTCCCAGGCGTCGCGCACGTCCAGCCGCGCCCCGGCCCGGTGCAGCGCCACCAGCGTGTCCAAGAAGCCCTCCCGGGCGGCGTCGTGCACCGGTCGGGTGAGGGTAGCCGGGTCCGCGCAGTTGGGCTCCGCGCCGTGGAGCAGCAGCAGCTCGGCCACGCGGGCGCTGCCCATCATCATGACCTGCCGAGAGAGCAGAGCGGTCAGGGCCGGGGCGGGGGCAGGACTGATGCAAAGAAATCTTACGGCGAAGCCCCCTCACTCCAAGCGGACGCTGTACAAGCCGTACAAGCCACAGGTGTCGCATTACCTTTCATTTGCTCCCACTCCCTTCTCCGTTTTCACCTGCCTCTATTTTTCCGTGGGAGAGGTACCACTCCCTTCTCTGTTTCACCTGCCTCTATTTTTCAGTATACACTGAATTCTATTATATTCTCCAAACTTTGGTGGGGGGGGGGGAGGGGGGAGCTAGCCACAAGCTGGACCAACTAGCTTTCACTAACTCGCTGTATTTCCCCGCTCATTTTGAGATGAAATTATGTTAGGCCTGGGGATTTTGTTTAGTTCACTGGTGTACATGCAAGCGTAGAACGTGGTTATCGTTTTAAAAATTTCTTTAAACCCTTTTTCAAAAAGAACGCTTAATTTTTGCAAAACGTTTAAGCTAACCTTAGCTTCCTGGGATATTAAACTTCAATCTGTTTTTAAACTCATATTAGTTTTTTTATATATTGGCAAATTACAGTGGATATATATATATATGGGGATACAAAGTGATGTTATGATTTTTAATATAATAGTGAATGATTAAATCACGCGAATCAACCTATCCATCACCCCAAATATTTGACTTTTTTTTTTGGTCAAATAAAACATTTGAGATTTATTCTCTTTGCAATATTGAAATGTACAGTACTCAATTGTTAGCTATAGTCACCATGCCGTGCAATAGGACTTAAAAAAAAAAACCAAACGCGCCTATTCTCTAATTAAATCTTTGTACCTTTGATTATCATCTATTTCCTTTATCCTTTCAGACTCTGGGAACCACCATTCTACCCTCTACTTCCACAAATTTGTTTTAGATTTTACATATAAGAGATAACATAAGATATTGTCTTTCTGTGTTTGGCCTATTTCACTCAGCATAATAGTGTCCAATTCTGAAATCCCTATTTATGTATAATATGAGAGGGCTTGTCTAACTGTCCCTAAAATTTCTTCCTGTGGTACGGTGACATCCCCCAAAGATGTCAATGTCCTAATTCTCAAAAGCTGTGAATATATTCCCTTATGTGGCAAAAGAGAGTTTACAGATGTGATTAAATTAAGTGTCTTGAGGAAGATTATCCTGAATAATCAGTGGGCCCCAACATAATCACAAATGTTCTTATAAGAGAGTCACAGACAGAATATATAATAGAAACAGAGGTCAGAGAGAAGATTCAGGGACTACAAACCAAGGAATTTGATGGCCACTAGAAGCTAGAAAAGACAAGGAAACAAATTCTCCCTTAATGTTTCCAAAAGGAACAGAGCCCTGTGGACCCATCTTAGACTTCTGATCACCAGAACTGTAAAATAATCATTTTATGCTTGTTGTAGTCATTAAATTGGTGATAATTTGTTACAGCAGCAGTAGGAAACTAAAATATTTCCCAAGCTTATGATTTGAAGATTCGCTAAACAAGAGATGCTCATCTCTTTAGCTTCTAAATCGTCTTTGAAACAAAGCCATTCCCAAAGAGGAATCTTAAAATGGTGTCTGGAGTCACAGCAACCTTAAAGTTACAGTGTTATATGGTTGGTGGTGGTGGTAGTTAGTAGACCATTTATTTTAGGATAACTGTTTTTAAGTCCAGGGATAGTGACATTATAAAGAGGAATTACTTATTTTTAGTTACATTTCATATCAATTAAACACAAATTACTGAATGTGCCTAAATCAAGGAGCCATAATAAATTATTTCATGGCTGATGAATCCTGCCCCGAGAAACTAATCTAGTTTTCAAAAAGTTTGTTCTTATCAGTTTATAAAGACAAATAGAAAATATAAGTATATCAAATTACAGCCACAAAAAGAAAAATATATTCAGTGTATTTTTCCATGTATCCAATGAAGTCCTACATTTTGGTCATAAAACTGATCTTAAAGCTTTTTCTTACATCTCATAGTATGAAAAAGTTGAGAGGTAATACACATGTAATATTTAAATCACGATAGCAATCCAAAGCAAAAATAAGATGACTCAAATAAAAACTTGTTGAGTGCTTACATCCATTTCATAAGAAATTCATCTGAATTTAATATTTTACAAAACTTTTATAGAAACTAAGTACTTCTGTGTTAAACATCAATTTGGTTAGGGTTCTAAACCCAAATCATTCCCCCTTTTCTCCATGTTCAACTAACTATTAAAAAATAGTCAAAATGATCTACTTTTTTTCTTTAATTTATGGAATTAGGCTCACTTCTAACATATTTTAGGACACAAAATCAAACTCTTAGTCTCCAAGCTACTGGCAAAATTTTAGAGATGCTAAATTATGAATCACACATGCATTACTTTTAAAGAACTCACACTTATCTTGTGCAACCACCCAATCTCTCTAGTCTCAAAATCTTTTCACACTTCAGATCCCAAATAATCTCAAATTGTAAGTATTTTAGCTTTACTTCTATATTTGTATTTTAAAGTTTATAAAATTTACACTCTGTAGCATAGTTTCAGGGGAAAGGGTCATTTTGAAGTTTGTGACACTCCAAGTAGAGTTACTTTCCTTTGTCTTGTTAAGCTGGAGTTTCTGTAGCACGTGTTTGTTTTCTACAAATTTTCTTTTTCAAAATTAGAAATCATTGTCGTTGCTGGTATAATACAAAGGGAGTGATAACTGCAAAAAAGAATGTATTTTGTTTTTCGTCTGAAAAGTAGGAAGTTAGTGATGGAAGGAAATTAAAAAGAAAATAAACCACAAACAAAAAAATTTACCAACACCCTCCCCCCACTCAAACCGGAGTAGGGAAGGGAGAAATGCTACAGGTCCACAATGAGGAATTGAAAACTCTATCCCAAGTAAGTTAAACCATATCAAGTAATCTAAGACTAGCAAATATACAAAAAATAGCCAACGCCCAAATGGTAACAAAATTCACAACATCTCAGGAGAGATCATACTAATTTTTTTCATATTTGTCTGTCTTTATTTTCTAAGTCCGTACAATAAGCATGTGCTTTCCCTACTCAGTTACTTCTGAATAATTTCAATCGGTACTTATTTCAGTATACACGACTGTAGATTTCCACTAAAAACCCTCCTAGCAAGAAAGACGACACCCTCCATTCAAGGGTCTTTAAGTGCCGGGCTCAGTAGCCCCTGCAAACCTTACACTTCTTCAAAACTCTTTTTATCTCAAACGTTCCTGAATATTGTATCTGCTAAATTTAGAGCGTACCTTGATCTAATAGAAATACGCTCCCCCCTCCAGATTCTAGAAGTCTGCACCCACGAACCTCCTCCGCTGGCTTCCCGGGTCCCCCAGGGCGTCTCCGGGAAGAGATCTGACCTTAAAGCCTCCTTCAGAGAATTCCCCAAGTTTTCTCCGCCTTCTCCCAGAGCCGAAGCCTACCTGGCTCCGACCCCCCTGCAAACCTTGCCCTCCAGAGTCGCCGGCAACCCCTCCTCCGGCTGCATACCCGCTCCCTACCTGGATCGGGGTCCGACCGTGGCGGTTCGGAGCGTCGGGCGGCGCCCCCGCCTCGAGCAGCGCCCGCACCTCCTCCGCCCGACCCCGGGCCGCGGCCGTGGCCAGCCTGTCCGCCGACGGCTCCATGCGGCTCCCGGCTCTCACTCTCACTGGCTCGCCCTCCTCTCCCGCCGCCT